GTGGGTGTGGAGGTGCCTGGAGTGGACATGGAGGTGGATGTGGAGGTGGATATGGGGGTGGATGTGGACATGGATGTGGAGGTGCCTGGAGTGGGCATGGGGGTGGACATGGAGGTGGATGTGGAGGTGGACGTGGGTGTGGAGGTGACTGGAGTGGACATGGAGGTGGATGTGGAGGTGGATATGGGGGTGGATGTGGACGTGGACGTGGAGGTGCCTGGGGTGGACATGGAGGTGGACGTGGAGGTAGGGGTTGAGCTGCTGGGACTGGGGCAGGACACCAGGGAGCAGCACAGGACACGGATCTGGTAGTTATAACAGAGTCCTGAGGCTTGCTCTTTGTTGTAACAGGTCAGCCCTGTGGTCCGGCTGCACTCCACGTGCTGCCCCAAGGCTTCCAGTGGCACATCGGGCATGTCCTCAGCTCGGCACTGCACCTCCTTGGGCACCTGGCAAACTCGGTACCCATGGGCACGCAGGTTCTGCAGTGTGTCAAAGTCCCCGCTGTCCACTCCCTGCCCTGGGTGGCTGACATCCAGCCAATGGGTCCACTGACACTGCTCCTCACAGCCTGAGACAGGTGCGGACGTGGGGGAGGTGCCTGGGGCTGTTGAGGAGATCTTGCTGGTGATCACGTTCACTGGGGTTTGAGAGGTGCTCCTCACTGCAGGTGAGAGAAGATGGGGGGCTTGCTGAGACCCTCCCTGCCCGCTGTCTGCCTTGGTGTGTGCTAGGGTTGAATGAAGTGTACTTCCTAAATAGCACCTTACAGCCTCACTCCCAGGTGCCCCAGTGTGCTCATCAGGTGCGAGTAGAGCTTAGGGGGCCTCAGAACATGGTGAGGATTCAGCAATCAGGTGTGCCGGTAAGGTGAGCAACAGGAATGAACCGGGAGATGCCTCTCCAGGTGCATGCTCCGGATTCCCACAAATTCTAGTCTGTCCGAGGAAGCCACCTGGGACATGTGGCTCCAGCACCTGCCCTGATGAAACTCAGCCCTGGGACTCAGACTCTCCTCTGACTATGGGGGTGCTGCAGAAAACAAAAGAGTCACCCCCAAGTCCTGACCATCCGTGGAGGCAGCTTCTAACTGCAAAGCTGAGTGTGAACATGGCATACAGTATGTAGTGTGCCCACGGTCAGCACCCAAGGCCTCTCTGCCAACAGTCACCCCCAAGAGAGCCACATGCAGCCATACCACTGGAGATGGTGAAGGAGAAGATGGTGGTGGGCACAGGGCTGGTACCACAGGCATAGACCTTCCTCTCAATGGTGCCATTGGCTGTGCAACGGGCTGAGATGCAGGAACCTGTGCCGTCTGCTGTGTGGTAGATGACCTCGCCAGGGTGGAAGCGTTGCCCATTGTAGGTGCAGACGCAGGCTGCAGGAACAGATGGGGAAATGTTGAGGTGAGCACGGCAGTGACCCTGGGCCCTCACACCCAGGACGGCCCTCGACACTCACCCTCAGCATCGTAGGTACACTTCACACCGTTCTCAGTGCAAATGCTGGAACAGACAGAAGACAGTTAGGACAGGAGCATGTTGGGGACAGCCCTGCCCCACTCCTGCAGAGTACTCCAGACATCCACCCCCTGCCCCACCCAGTGACCCACCAGGCTTGGCAGTTCTTGTCAGAGGGCACTGAGGCACCGGGCCGGTAGTCCTTGCCCCGGACACGGCAGGGAGGTGGTGGTGGGGGGGTCGAGCACTGGGCAACACACTGCATCTCATCTTCGTCAAAGATGGGGGTCTCTTGCGGGCACTTAGGGTAGCAGCCTGTGGGGTAGGAGGCCTTAGTCCCAGTCCCACCCAGCCCCAGCCCATCAGGATCTGAAAGCTGCAGGGGGTGGAAAGCAGCAGCTGCCAAGGCTGCTCTGGGGTTAGGAGGCATCAGTCCCACTGTGAGTTCACAAAGGAGGTCCCAAAACACAAGAATCTCAGGAAAGACCCCAACACAGATCCCAGGGGCTCAGAACAGACTCTAACACAGGTCCCAGAGGACCCCAGGACAGAACCCAACAGAGACATCAGGAGACCCCAGGACAGACCTCCAACTCAGATTTCAGAAGACCCCAGATCAAACCCCAACACAGCTACTAGAGACCCCAGGAAAGACTCCAACTCAGATTGAAGGGACTCAGAACAGACCCCATCTCAGACCCTAAGAACCCTGGGAAAGGCCCCAACTCAGATTCCAAGAGACCCCAGGACAGATCCCCAACTCAGGTTCCAATGACCTTGGACAGACCCCGGGATAAATCAAGGGATCCAAGTTAGCCCCCCAGTTCCTGCACCGACCCAGACCCTCCACATCCCACAGCCCCGTTCCCTGCCCCTCACCTTCCAGGCCGGGTAGGTTGTGGAGGCAGCGCCCACTGGGGTTGCGGCAGGTCCGCATACAGGGTGCCCCGCACGGCTGGTAGTGCCATTCACACTCCCCTTGGGGGTTGTAGTAGTCACAGAACAAAGCTGGGGGTGGAAGGTGACAATCAGAGAGGCTTCTGGGAGCCCCCTCAGTGACCTTGAATAGCCATCCCTGAGAAGGGGTCTGGAGCCATTTCCCTCTCCCGGGCCTCCCGACATGGCCTCAGAGCCCCTCAATGTGATGACTCAAAAGTGAAGGTGTGGGCAGGGGAACTGATCAAGGCTCTTTCCCTGACCTCCCAGGGATGCTACTAGGGCTCACCAGGTATACTTCACCCGGCTTAGGCTCCCACATGTCTGGGGGCTGGGAGGAGACTCTGCTGACACTTTTGGCTCCAGAATGTTCCCCAGGGTCAGTGCCCCACCTTCAACAGTGGCTCTCCTGCCCCCATATTTATTTTTCCCTCTGCCCCTCCAGTCTGCACCGTGTACTGGCTGGTGCAGCCGTACAGGGTCCCACTCCCCACCCTTTCAGCACCGCGGACAGAGCCCGACTCACGGCAGACTTCCGGGCTGCGCCAGGACACACACACGCCGGCGTCGTGGCAGGCCTGGGCGTAGGCGGCCACGGCTGTGCAGAAGCACTCGCAGTCCCCGCCTGAATCGCAGGCGCAGGCGTCGCTCACGCAGGCTTCGTAGTACTTGGTGGGTTCCACCTACGGGAGACGGGGACTTCAGAGTCCAGGGGCAGGAAGCAAGTGGACTGCTGCCGCTAGAGTTCCCCCTCTCCTTGGGTTTCTTGTTGTCAGGACCTCTGCTCTCACATCCACCTGACTGGTGTACACCGGAACTTGGGGAGAGAACTCAGAGGACCCCAAATGACACAAGGCTGGATCACCGTGATGACTGGGCACACCCCAAAACCTCCCCTTCCCCAGCAATGTTCTGCTTTCTGGTGCATTTCTGGTATCTGGGGCATTCTCCGAGTTAGCCACACTGACCCAGTGGAGGTTGTACAATTCTGTATACGTGGCCAGGTGGGTGCTCAGTAATTGTCCCACACTGCCTCCCCGCCCCAGCTCCAGTTTCTCCCAGCACCCGGGATCACTACCAGTAACCCTTCCCTCCCTCATGGGCCACAGCAGGGCCTTGGTTCCGTACGTGTGCGTGGCAGGTGGCAAAGGTGGTGCCAAGGAGAATGCTGCATTGCTTCTGGGCCCAAGACTTGCGGTACGGGTTGGCGGTACAGGGGTCCCTGGGGGCGAGGGCGTCTGGGCAGGTTGGGTTGAACTTCCAGCTGTTACCGAATTCCAGCACGTCGCCCACCACAGACTGGCTCCGCGTAGTGAAGTCATTGATGGCATTGCCATCGAAGTTGCCACACAGCCCACACACCTTCCCCTGTGGACAGAAGTGGGAATCGTGGGTCCAGGGGCCCAAAAGGGTCCCCACCACAGCCTCAGGAGGGCCGGAGAACTAGAGGTCTGGGAGGCAGGGAGAGGGGAACCCCTACACTGCACTGGCGCTTGTGTGGCTCTGAGACCACAGGTTCCGGCTTTCTTCTGCTCTCTCCCCGCATGCCATTCATGCTGGCAGATTGGGATGCAGATTCAAGGTGCAGGACTGGTCTTTCCTCAGACCAGACCTGGGTTGGGGTCTGGCCACCCTGCTTGTCAGTTCAGCATCTCAGGGACAAAGCCAGAGTAGGTTTTTCAAGAGGAAAAGGACCTCCAAGGGAGCAATCCTTTTGAGGGGCAATTGCTGGGCTCACCATGTCTCCTTACGTCTGTTTCTCTCTCCCTCTGCCTACCCCTGCAAGGGCACCCCTGTTCCAGGAGTGAGGGAGGACAGAGGACTTCCCAGGCACTGACTGACCTTAAACTCGGGGCTGAGTCTGAGGAAGAGACTGGTTTTCTTGTCCCACTGGAGCACAAGGCCGACATCTGTGTCCACCACCAGGTAGATGCCCATCTGGCGGATGGAGTAGGGTGCCACCTGCCCGGCCCCCTTCTCGATCACTTCCACCTTCCCACCGCTCAGCTTCAGCTCATAGCTCTGCGGAGGAGGGGAGCTGGGACTCAGAACCTGGCAGGCTGTGGGCCCTGTGGCACTGACTGAGCAGACCTCGTCAGTCCCTCTCCCACCACTGAGAACAGCTCATCCAGAACTGCCCCTCCCACTCACCCCCAGGAAAATCTTGATGGCCTTGGAGCAGGTGGCCCCTGTTGTACCACAAGGAATGTTCTCAGTGACGACACGGAAGGAGCCCGGGGCACTGCTGCTTCCACCGCAGTGGTCCTGGGGAAGCAGGAAGCTGTCTCAGGTGTCTTTTCGCTTTCTGGGGGCCTGGGGGAGACTGACCCCTGCACTCCATGGCTCCCAATAGGACAGGCTGGGGCATGGAGTTATAGGGAGGAAGGGCTGGGCCCCAGTGGTGGGGTTCGGAGCGGAGCTTGGGTGGGGCACTGAGCCTGGTAGGCATGATTGGGGGCGTGAGCCTGGGGGGCACTGAGCCTGGGGGATACTGAGTCTGGGGGACACTGAGCCTGGGGGGCACTGAGCCCGGGGGACACTGAGCCTGGGGGACACTGAGCCTGGGGGGCACTGAGCCTGGGGGATGCTGAACCTGGGGAGTATAAGCCTGGGGGACACTGAGCCTGGAGTCACTGAGCCTGGAGGACACTGAGCCTGGGAACACTGAGCCTGGGGGACACTAGCCTCCACACCTGCACCAGCGTGTACTCGCAGTCTCCGTCAAAGCTGAAGCGCTGCCCATCAAAGGTGAGGTAGTGGCCATCTCCATACACAGCGCAAGTGGCCAGGCAGGGCTCCTGCGTGCACTGCCACATCCTGTTCTTACAGGTGCTGTGAGGTGAGGGGCAGAGGCACGAGTCAGGGTCTCCACAGGGGCATAACTGGTGACCTCTGTCACCACCTGCCCACATGTCCTGAGGACCTCTGCCTGGAGGCCTGCTCTGCTTCTGAGCAATACTGCCCACCTTGGGGACCCCCTGGGACCTAGATGCACACACCACCAGGGCCCCCATTATACACACCAGGTGTTGCAGCCAACCCAGATGGTCTGGCCAGCTTTGTAGCTGGCCTCATTGTGCATGCAGGGACAGTTAGCTGCCGCAATGCAGCCTCCCTCTCCATCTGATACTAGTCCTTCAGGGCACACGCAGCCAGAGACACACTGGGAGCCGTACTGCAGGGACACAGACACACAGACAGTGAGGTGGGGACCAGGTGGACAGCAAGACAGCACACTGGGTCCTCGAAAGAGCAGTGGAGGCCCACTACACCCAGCCTCAGGAGAAACAACCGCAGCAAGCAAGGGGGCAAGGAGCCTGGAGGAGGTACTCAGGGTCTCCTAGGACCTCCTTGTGGAAGGGAGTGTGCCTGTCTGTTCATGGCAAACAGGGCCATCATCCAACACACTTACACATGCCATGTCCAGGGTGTGGCAGCTCTTCTGACAGCCGGCCCCGATAGCTCCAGCTGTGGCATTCTGGCAGTCAAAGTACACCATGGGTGCAGTGCAGACTGTAGGAGAGGGTGCTCGTCAGGGACCCACCCACCCACCCAACCCACCACCACAGAGAGAAGCTGCTCTGGAGTTAGCCTTTAGCTCTGGGGGCAAGTGAGTTGCCCTTCACATTAAGGTGATAACTGTGAGTAGATAGAAACCCAGCAAGAAGTGGAGGTCACAGCGCATTTAGAGATAGAAATTCTGATCCCACGAGAACCTGGGGCAGTGTCCCAGGTGCCTGGCACACGGCTGATATACCTGCCTCTGCCCAGACAACGACAGCCGAAGCTCCTCCATTGAACCACAGTGGGCTCGGCTTAGAATTCCACAAGTAAAGGAGAGGGATGGATGGATGGATGGATGGTTGAATGGATGGATGGATGGATGGATGGATGGATGGATGGATGG